GAGGGGATAGGCAAGGAAGAGAAGGAAATAGGAAGAGGGGAGATGGATAGGTAAGGAGGAAGAGGGGATAGGGGATAGGGAAGGGGAAGAAGAGGAGAGGGCGGGGGATAGGTAAGGGAAGGGGAGAAGAGGGGAAACGGAGAAGGGACATAGAGGAGATAGGTAAGAGAGGAGAATTAAAAGGAATAGTAAAGGAGGAGAAAGGAAAAGAGGGATATATAAAGGGCGAAATATATAGGTAATGGAGAGAGGATAGGATAGGTAAAAAGTAAGGTAAGGGGAAAGGGGGAAGAGATAGATAAGGGGCGAAGGAAGGAAGAGGGGATAGGCAGAGGGGAAAGGAAGGGAAGGGGGGGATAGATAACGAAAGAAAAGGGGGCAAGATGATAAAAGGGGAAGATAGGGAGAGGAGAGGAGGATTGGATAATCAGGAAGGAGATAGGGAAAGACGATAGGTAAATGGGGAAGGGGGAAAGGAAGGAGGGAGGAGGAGGGAAGGAAGAGGAAGAGAAGAGGAGGCAGAAGGAGGGAAGAAGATAACGGAACGCGAAACAGGAAGGGAGGAGGAGTAGGAGGAGGAGTAGGAGGAGGAGGAGGAGGAGGAAGCGGAAGAGGGGAAAAGAGTAATGAATACAGAGAAACAGGAAGAGAGAAGGAAGAGGAAGGGCGGTGGTTAAGGAAGCCACGAAACGGGGGAGGGGGAGATAGAGAGGAAAATAGGAAGTGAGGAAACGAGGAAAGGAAGAGAAAGAACAGTAGGAGTGTGTTCTTCATGTAAGAAAGTCGAAAATTATTGACAAGTGAAATGTCTCCCAATTTTCTAATTAAGAAAATCTCTCTCATCGTGAAATACCATAAAGAGAGAGAGAGGGAGAGAGAGAGAGAGAGAGAGAGAGAGAGAGAGAGAGAGAGAGAGAGAGAGAGAGAGAGAGAGAGAGAGAGAGAGTTAGAAAGAGAGAGAGTTAGAGAGAGAGAGAGAGAGAGAACTTGTTTAAAAAAGCACAAACAAAAAACATATCGCGAAAAAAAGAAACTTTCTTAAAACAAACCGACAAACAAAAGATAAATCACGAAAATGAAAAGAAAGAAAGAAAAAAATCCTGTTCGTTTCGTTCTTGTCCAAAAAAATTTGTTCAATGCGGTTTGTCACTTTTACCGCGTCGAGAACTGTTCTTCGAGAGTTATTGCGTTTGGGGAAGAAGTTCTTTGTTCTTGCGTGAACTCGGTCGTTTGTTCTTGTAAACACGGAAAACTGTTCTCACGATGTGTATGTTCTTGTAAAAAGTATACTGTTAGAGATATGTCTGTGTGCGTGTCGGGCTGGCTTTCCCCGGCGTTGCTGTTTGAAGGCTTTCCTTGTATTTTTTTTGTTTGTTTTTGTTTGTTTGGGGTGTTGGTTTCATGATTTTTTTTTCTTTTATTTGAATTCTTTCCTTGTATTTTGTTTGTTTGTTTTTGTTTGTTTGGGGTATTGGTTTCTTTTTTATTTATTTTGTTTATTTGGGTCGTTGGTTTCTTGTTTTTGTTTATTTGGGGTGTTGGTTTCTTGATTTGTTTGTTTGGTTTTATTGTTTTGTTGATTTTTTCGAT